AAAACTCTTGAGCTTATTCGCCAATGTGGTTTGGCGCATGCCTCAGGCAACCGCAAGGGAACATCCGAGCTTGGAAAGCAGTGCAGAGATATGATAAAGGAAGACCTCAAAGAGAGTAGAGCAGAAGCGCTGGTAGATGTGGCAGAAGCCGGGAAAAGCATTCGTAATGCCCGTCTGTCCTTCGCCAACTACAAGACCAAGAAGAAAGCCCTCTGATGTCCTGATGGATCTGTCACATCTTTCAGAAGGGCAATGGAGAAGATTATCCATGACTCCTACTCAGATCTCTTCGATAGCCATGTCCACTTGCCGACATATCAAATTCCACAAGATGGATATGTTATTCCCAAAGTTCTCCCTTCTGAAATCCGACACGTCATTTCGTTGGTAAAGAAATGAACAGCACCCGGCCCAGACAAGGTCAGACCTGAACACCTGAATGACCTATCTTCAGTACTCATCAATATGCTGACTCGGCTCTTCACACACTACCTTTCTGAATGCAAGCTTCCGTCCCAATGGAAAACCAGCAGGACTGTACTACTGTACAAGAAGGGAGACATCCACGACATTGGCAACTATCGCCCAATCTGCCTATTTTCTGTCATCTACAAGCTGTTCACTTGAGTCATCCTGAATAGGATTGGCAGAACACTAAATGAAGTACAACCATGCGAGCAAGTCGGATTCCGCAAAGGATTCAGCACCATCGACCATATCCACACGATAACCAAGCTCATTGAAGTTTCTCAAGAGTTCAAGTTGCCGCTCTGTCTAATGTTCATTGATTTAAAGAAGACCTTTGATTCTGTTGAGACAGAAGTGGTTATTGAAGCCCTAGCCAATCAGGGCATTCAAACTCAATACATCAGGATCCTCTGTGAGCTGTATTACGAATTCACTACCAGGATCTCACCATTCTACAAAGAAGATATATATATATATATATATATATATATATATATATATATATTTCTCTCTATAATTTGTTGCCCACTGTCTGAACTCCATCAAGCATTTCATTTCATTTCATCATCCTGTTAATCGTCGATTGCCTCGAGCAGGCCCCAGTAACGTCTCCTTCATCCTAGCCCTGAGATTATATTCAAGGCTCTTTAGGAGAATGAGACCCATCATTGTTACTGGTATTTGGCATATTTGGTACGCCACGGGGAGTTTGCCAGACTCTGCCCTGTGGGCAGGCTACATTCGATAGCCTGCAAGTTTGTCCAAAGTAGGAATGAGATAATAAGATGTCATAAAGAAAAGTTCTGATAAGACGTCGCGCGGCCGCAAATGCGGCTGCGCGGTTCCGGGATCTGGATTTTATACTCTCTGAGTCTTGGCCGCTGATGGGATTACACGGCGCCAGGGGGCCAGGTGGTGGGTGTGACCCCCGCCTACTGGAATTTGGAGGATCTGGGTGGAAGATGATCGACTCCAATTCGAGTAGGCTTGGAGGTCTCGGCCCGGGAACCCGCGTGGCTTTGTCCCTCTGCCAGTACCTTCATGTGTGCGGAGAGTGGTCTCAGCATGGTGGTGGCTGGTCCTGGAGGTCTTCGGCTGCCGGTGTGATAATTATGGAAAATGGGTGGGAAGTGTCTTACGATGTGTTGCTCAGCTGAGAAGCGACCAGGAGGTCCAGAAAGCAGCCTGGAGTGTGGCGGTGATTGGGTAATGGAGGTCCGCGGCTGGGGCTGAGTTCCTTGGGGCGGGGAGGGCTTTTGCCTGCCCCCTCTCTGGGGCACCCAAGTGAGAATAGCCTGGCACAGAGTCCTGAATACCTGAATACAATCTCTAAAGTACTGTAACCAAGTACCTGAGATCATCATAACTAAAGAATATAACCCCCTTTGAGCATATGTGCAAACATGACAATCAAATGTACAGCTTCTGGTTATTGTAACAAAAAAGAAGGGAAAAATAAAAAGGGAAAAATTAAAGAGCTCTAGTTTGTTTTTTGGTTTGTTTGTTTCAGGTTCGCAGCTGGCTATGCTTGGGTTTACTCTTGGCTCCGCATTTAGGGGTCACTCCTGGAAGGGCTTATGAGACCATATGTAGAACCAGGAATCCAGCCAGGTCAGCTGTATGCAAGGCAATTGCTTTACCTACTCTATTATCTCTCTGGCCCTAGGAGTTCTGTTAAATTATATGATTCTGAAGCCTGGTTGAGAAGAATAAAAGGCAAACATTATGCCCTTTATCATTCATTTCCCTCCTCCCCTCCCCCAATCTTTCCATTGGGAAGGAAAAAACAAAAGGTGCTGGATACTTCATAAAAGGAAACAAAACTCAGAGAAAATATGAAAATAAAATATCAGTTGATTATTGATTCTGATGTTGATTCTGATATTCTGAAAAATATTACTGTAACTCATTCCAGCAGGATAGCCTTTCTTTTATTGAGAAGCAGAGATTGCCTTTTTATGCATGAAGCATCTTGAGATGTCTGGCATGATCTGGGATTTTCCCACTGGACAACTTACACTATTTTCTTAGAAGATTAGTTATCTAACAGAAATTTCTGAGATAATAGGAATGTTTCATATCTGTGCCTTCTAGATACATAAAACTATTAAAAATTTACATTAAAATAAAGTCACAGCTTTAATTATATTTGAGTTCCATTCTTTTAAATTTTAATAGCCACCTGAAGTTAGGTTTACTATATTGGGCAGTCCAGTTCTAGAAGTTACCAGAAGAATATTACCAGAAGAAACATAGTGGTCTTAATGTCTCACTGTTATTTATAGATAAAAATCATTCTGTGTTATGGATTTGAAAAATTCCCCACATGAAAATAACCTCAGTTAAGATAAAAATTAAACTGACATTGTGGGCTTAATATGACTGGTTAAAAGCAAATAATGCCTTCACTTACAAATTGGGCAGAATTGCTGACCTAATAAGAAGAGGCCGAGTTCACAATTCACGGCAGAGCCTAGTTGGCTACCCGTGGTGTATTTAATATGCCCCAAACAGTAACACTAACGGGTCTCATTCCCCTGACCCTGAAAGAGCCTCCAATACGGCAGCGTTGGGAAAGACAGTGTGGTGGTGGATGATGGGCACTGGTGGAGGGATGGGTACTTGTTCATTGTATAACTGAAACCCAAGCGCAAAATTTGTAAGTCTATAACTGTACCTCATGGTGTTTCACTAATAAAAAAAGAGGAAAAATATGAACAACAACAACAAAAAAACTCAGGGCTGCGACGAATGGAGACATTACTGGCACCCGCTTAAGTAAATCGATGAACAAAGGGATGACAGTGATACAGTGATACAGTGATACAGTGAAGTTCACAATTAATTAAAGATTTTGTATTTATTTAGCCAAACCATGCCTCAGATGGACAGAAATATATTGAGAACCATATTTAGGAGACCTTGCAACTCTAATGGACATGTACAAAATATATTCTTTCAAAACACTGCCAAGAGTGATTCCTGAGTGCAAAGCCAGGAGTAACCCCTGAGCATCACTGCATGTGACCCAAAAAGCAAAAAAAAAAAAAAAGCAAAAAAAAAAAAAAAGAAAGTTCTTTCAGTTATGGAATTAGTCTTTTGGGAATAATAATATGTTCTCTATATTATTCACGATCACAGTCCTCCCGTTGTTCATCAATTTGCTTGAGCAGGCCCAGTAACGTCTCCTTCGTGAGACTTGTTGTTACCTTGTTTGGCATATTGAATATGCCAGGGGTAGCTTGCCAGGCTCTGCCCGTGGGCAAGATACTCTGGGTAGGTTGTCGGGCTTTCCGAGAGGGGCGGAGGAATCGAACTCAGGTTGGCCATGTTGGCTGCGTGCAAGGCAAACGCCCTACCGCTGTGCTATCGCTCCGGCCCTCTCTATATTAACTATATTAATACTTTGTAGTAAGCAAATGTTCATAAAATATACATGGTTTTTCAGTTTTGGGACTTTAATAAATAGTGCTTCATCTTTGCTGACTATGAGCAGTATCTTTTTTTATTACAAACGAAATAATAGAAGCTAAGTTATGCAATTTTCCTCTGGTCATTTATTGTAACTCATACCATTTGGACCCTAACCCTTACCACTTGATATTATTGCTCTTGATAATAAAATTTCATCTGAACCGCCTAATATTTCTTGGGTGGAGGTGTGTGTGGCGGGGGTTGACGGGGGCCTCGAGCCCTTGGTTCAATGCAAGGGCCCACAAGCTGTGAGTGCTCAGGGTCCTGCAGTGTTGGGGTTACAGCACCACCCTGAGTTCAGGGTCACACCCAGCAGAGAGAGACCTGTGGGGAGCGGTGAGGTGTGGGGCCACCATGTGATGCCAAGATGGAACCCAAGGTCAGCAGCACGCTTCTTACCTGTCTCTCTGTCCCCTGAACAACCTGCTTTCTTCCCTACGCGTAGAGTTGGAAGAAAATCCCAACAGGTGACGCTGACGGGCGCTGCCGCGTCGGCGGCTCCAGACCCAAATCAGCGTAGGATCTTTGGTCGCTGTGCTGGACGCAAGGAGACAGCGCTGACCCTAGCATCTTGCTCGCAGCGGAAAGCTGCCCAGGTCAACTGGTTCTGGAGCTAATCTATCCTGAGTATCTTCTGTGCTGACTTTTGGAGACTTCTGGAGACTTTTATTCGGTTTGGTTCCAATTAAGGATCAAACACCTAGGGTGCATTTAACCACTTTCCCCCCCAATTTCCATCAACATCTGGGCCCCAAGCTTAATCCTGCACCTCCGCATTGATCAGGTGGCCTTATAGTGTATGAATCAAGACATGTAGCACACAACCTCTCGTGCCTTTCGAATCGCAGCGTCTCACATTCACGCAGAGACGGGATGTTGCAGGGGTCAGTTTGCGGCCCTGTACCTGTTTATTCATAAGGAAGGGAAGCGGCTCCCCGCGAGCCTCGCCTCCCCCCTGCCCTGCAGGCCCGCGGAGCCCAGGTGGGCAGCGGGGAGGAACTACAAGTCCCAGGATGCCCCGGCGCACAGGCGCGGGAGGCCCGGCCGGCACCCGCGGGGGCCAGCGCGGCGCCCGGCTGGGCTGCGGGCGGGATGCGCGCTGGGCTGCGCGCGCGGGGCTAGGGCGCGCCGGGCTCTGCACACCGGCCCCGCTCCGCCGCCGTCACCATGAAGAAGCAGTTCCACCGCATGCGCCAGCTGGCCAACCAGACGGTGGGCAGGTAGGTGCCCGCGGCCTCGCCCGCCCGCCCGCCGCTCGGGCGCATCCCTCACCTGGTCCCCAGACGCCCCGACCCCGGGTGCCGGGGCCGACGGCGCCCGGGACACAGGTGCGCTCGGCGGGGTCCCCTGCCAGTCCCCCCGCAGCCGGGGTCGGGGATGTGTCGGCCCTGTGCCCCGCCGAGCCCGGCCGGCCTCCGAGGATGCGCGGGAGGAGGGTCTGGCTCAGCCCGGGAGGGGGTGGCGAGAAGGCGGCGGGGACGGGCAAGGTGAGATGCCAGCGGCTGTGCGGGTCCGCGGAGAGGGGGCTCCGGAAAGCCAGGCCCGGCTCCTCTGGAGCATGAGATAAGCAGGATCCGGCCGGCCAGGCGAGGACAGAGGCCTTTCAACCCGGAGATCCTGACCCAGGAAGCCGCTGTCACGGGGAGATGAACCGCATCTGGGTTAGCGGCCCCAGGAGCGGCACCACGGGGTGCCAACATCTAAAAAAACGTTACATAAGGCTTCTGGTGGGTCTCCTCGAGTTAGACTCGGTCGGAATACACGATTTCTAGGCGGAGATTCTCTGGGAAAGATCTCCTTTGGGGATCTCTTGTTGGCCAAGACATTCAGGTGTGACCTTCTAAAACAAGTGGGAAGCGAAGGACCCAGCCTCCCAACCTTGTGTGCAGTTCAGGTGCAAGCCCCAGCGTAGCGGGCTCTCCACTAGGTTTACCAAGAAACCGAATTCCTTTCCCGGGTGGGAAGCGGGGCTGGCACCTGGTAGAGTGGGGGCGGGGCCGTCCCTGGTGCATGGGGACACTACACTCCAGGTTAGCAGCTGCTGTCAGTGTAGTGGACGCTTGAGGGCACGGGGCTGTGGGCTTTTATCCTTCCAGGGACTCCAGATGGTCTCTAAGTAACCATGTCTAAAATTGACTTGGATTCATTTTTCTTTACCAAACACATGTGCTTTAACATGAGGAAGAATTTATGAATAGCAGAGTCAGATTAGCCCAGATTTCTGGCATGCTATTACCACAAATATAACTTCATGTGGGCTGCTTTTTTTGGTATTTTGGACGGTGAAATAGTGTTTTTCTGGTATTAGTTGTCTAACAACACTTGTCTTAAGGCATTGCTTCTGCATCACCCTTCAAGCTGCCATTTGGCGTCACATCAGACCAACAAGGTGGTCTGGAATCTTGACTGTCTCTGACTGACTTGGAGTTTCAGTTCAGTGCTTACCTCCATGTTAGGAAGGTGTATGTGTTTCTTCCCTGATCTTGCAGAGTGGTGAGATTTGGGAACCTGGGCCCTAAACTGTAGTTTTCACCTTCATCTCTTAAGGGAATGACAAAGAGGTTGTGTTTATGATTTAAAAACGCTTTACTGGAAGTCCAAATGCCTGGCCACTAAAAGGTGCTTTCTAATATTTTGGTGTATTCCAGCATGCAGATGAATTCTGTTTATTAATTGGCTTTATGCTCCATATCACAGCCCAGGTAAAGTGAGGGCCGGGTAATACAATCAGTCACTAATATGAATGACATTTGGATGACACCAGAGTAGAAATTTCAAAGGAAAAAAATGAGTTCATATAATCTTGTTGCTTGATTTCCCTCTTTGAAATATGTTTCTAATTATCCAGGGATCATTGTCCTGACTTCTCTTTGCCCATCCATACTTATTCTATTTTACCCCACCAAATTTACTGGAATACAGCCATAGTGGCCTTCTTTCACCAAGTTCCTTTCACTTTGGTGCTTTTCTTATTTTCCTGCTCATCTAGTTTGTACTCTTTCTATGTGTCCTTTCTCCTATGTTTCCTCCTCTTTATTGAGATCTCAACTTGGAGGGTTTGAAGAAGCAGTCCTTTCCCCAATAACTTTCTAGTTCATTATCTTCATTTTTCTCAGCACACGCATCATTCTTTGAGATGGTCTTTTCTTTTTTTTTATTTTATTACTCCCAATATAGATTTTTTTACTCATCTATATAGTTCAATGCCTTGTACATAGTTAAGGCACAATTTCCACTTAATGACATAATTAAAAAGTTTACTCAGGGCTTATGTAGATTGAAACTCTCTGGCATTGTTTTTGTCTTATTAGGAATGTAGTTAGGCAATTCTGATGTCCTAAATGAGTTTATTAATTTCATGAGACAGTAGAAGCAATATAGATGGAAGTTTAGGAGAACTGATAAATTGCTTTATGAAATTTATTTAGGAAATTGTTGGACTTTTACCAGTGTCTTTGAAAGTGAGATAAGATGGGTGAACTTAAAAGGGAGAAAAAATTGATGAAGAGGTGAACTTGAAGGTCGCTCTTGCTTGCAACTGATGTCCCTTCCGTAAAAATCACACGTTATGGAGTTAGTTCTCCCGAATATAAAGCTGTCGATATTGGGCTCAGTCAGCTCAACAGTGTAGGGCACTTCATATTCAGATTTGCACTATTATGTTACTGTTATTTTCTCTGAAGTGCCCATGTCTGATCAGAGAGCGTGTAAGTTACTGTGAAGAATTTCTAAACTTACTGGGAAAACTTATTTTCTCTCAGATCTGCTTCTCATAGCTATATACACATTCCTTCTGTTTTGAAATTTATTCTGCTTTGAAATTAACAAAAAAAAAATGACTGGGCTGCTGTCTGTGGAATGATCTAGAGCTCAAGGGCCTTTAAGAGGAATAAATATGGTTTGCTACTTACTGAAAATGTGATCTTTAATTTATCGAACATTAGTTTATTCACCCCTCCAAATGGGAATAAGAAGGTTTGCACTATTGAATATAAGAATAGATGTAACAATGACTGGAGACCACTGCTGAAAGGTTTCTCACAGTGCTCAGCCCTCAGAAATGCTTGCTACATGGTAGCTATTAGTACCTCTGGGGAAATGCTATGACCCTTATTGGATTACAGTCTCAGTGCCATACATTCTATTAATTCAGTAAATATTTATTGAATGCTGGTGGCAGGCACTGCTCCAAAGATTTAGGGAATATTGTAGTGCCGAGCAAACAAAATCCAATTTCACTGGAATTTTCATTCTAAAGGCTTACTTAATGATATTCTATTATAATTTTTGCCTGCTTTTGTTTTGGGGTCATACATGGTTGTGCTCAGAACATACTCCTGGCTCTGTGCTTAGGGATAATTCCTGGCAGAACTCAGGGGACCAGAGAGGTGCTGGGGATTGAAGATGGGTTGGCCACATGCAAGGCAAGTGTCTGTCTTGCTGTACTATCTCTCTGGCCTAATTTTTTACTTTCTAAAGTATCTTTCCTATTAAGCTTTTAGATTTTTTCAGGGACTGTTTATATATGTCCTACTATCTGGTGCATTAGGACTATGAGATTCTATGGTTCTGTGAAATTCTTTTACAGCTGAATTAGTGTAGGATTCATATATTCTTGATGGGGAAGTCATAGAGGGGCTCCAGTCATGGAGCAGACTCTCAACACAGTTCCTTTGATTTCCTCACGGGAATGGTGCCAGAGGAGGGGCTTTAGATACTTTGTTTTTATTCATGTACTTGAACAGGGCTCCCACTCAGTGATGGTTGGTGTGACACAGCACTGTTCCCAGTGATGTTTGATGGTTGATTTTTGCGGTTTAGTGCTCAGAGGGTGAACTGGGCTTCACCCAGTGGTGGTGTATGTGGGAGTGCCATGTAGAGTTTGACTGGAACAGGTTAGGGATATGCTCTACACTTGAAGTCGCTCCCTGGCCCATGATTTATATGATAATTGTTTTAATTTTTAAAATTTAATTGCATTGTAATTTCATTTCATTTCATCATCCTGTTATTCGTCGATTGCCTCGAGCAGGCCCCAGTAACGTCTCTTTCATCCTAGCCCTGAGATTATATTCAAGGCTATTTAGGAGAATGAGACCCATCATTGTTACTGGTATTTGGCATATTTGGTATGCCACGGGGAGTTTGCCAGACTCTGCCCTGTGGGCAGGCTACATTCGATAGCCTGCAACTTTGTCCAAAGTATTGTAATTATTCATAAATTTCAGGAATATATTGTTAGAAATAAGAGTCTATTTATACTGTATTAAATTCACTACAGGAAAGTTAGCTGTTTTAGTTTGTTTTCTCTGGGGCTACACCCAGCATTGCTCAGGGCTTACTCCTGGATCTGCACTCAGGGATCACTTCTGGTGGGCTTCGGTGACCATCTACAGTGCTGGGATTTCTCCTGGGTTGGCCATGTGTAGGCAAGTGCTCTACCCATGATAATATTGCTCTGGCACCATAAAAGTTCAGTTTATTTTCACCATAGAATGGACTTCTTTTAGTAACTTTCCCACCCCTTTGGGTATCCTCTAATTTGGTCTTGAAGTCTAAAAGCTTATTTTACTTGTCTTCACTCTAAGTGAGATCTTGGAGTGAAACCTGTGAATGAAATGATGTGTCTTTCTCTGTGTGACTTAATTCACTAAGTCGTATTACCTTTAGATCCAGCTATGTTGGAGATAAAGATTTAAGAGAGATTGTAGGTCACACCTGATATATGGTATAATTTTATACCTTCGTTAGTACCTGTGTTATGAGGCATCCTGAAAGGCACAGGATTTTTCTTGGAAGGAGCATTGATTTTGTGTTGAGTAGAATAAAGTCTTGACCTAAAATTTATAGACATTTGATATAAAGCTGTTACATAGATCTGTCACTTTGCATAGTAAGGTTCAGAGTTACCACCAACTAAGGAGGCTTGGATTATTAAAAAGTGTTCAATATTTGGCGGATGAAGCTCCATGTTACATATCTTATTTTATGTTTGCCTAATCAATACTCAAAAAATATTGGTCTCCAAGTGTAAATGAATTTCATTTTATGATACTAGAGATCAGACTTACTCCCTCACTCATAATTGTAAGGCAGGTGCTCTGCCACTGATTCATACCCTGTCTCCAAAAGGCTTTTAAAAAAATTATTCCATATGCCATAATGATAGCTATAATTGATTTGTGTGCTCATGTGTAAAAATGATATGTTCAAGGTGTCT